GAATTTTTCTCACTTTGATGTTCCTCTCCTCTGTGAAGTCAAAAGCCGACTAAGGGACTAATAATAGCTGTCAATACGCCTGCCATTGGAAATAAGTAAATATATATTATCTAAATTTATTAAATTTGAATTATGAGCCTATTCAAAGGATCAGAAACACAAGTCAGTTTTTTATTGCAATAAAAATTTGAAGTTGAAAGTTATCTAGAAAAAGCATTACTAACAATAGTCATCAATGAGTGTAACTAAACGATTTCTTAATTTAGTAAAATTGGGTATTCGATTTACGAGAGACACTGACGGACTAAATCCTAAATACTTCAATTTCACACTGAGAGAATTCCTAAAAATTTTTTTATTTTGTAAAATTCAATGCAATATTATGTAATAAAAGCCGACCGATAGCAAAAATGCAACAAATCGTGACTTTATAACCAAACTTATTTTGGAATTTCACTAACCGAACAACATTTTTGCTTTAAACTAAGTGGATACAAGTTTATTTTCCTCAACTATCTATAAATGGAAAACAACCTGACTTTTTTGCAACGTTACTTGTAAGGAATCACAACTACTGAAGATTGAAAAAAAACGCGATACATTTCCAAGAAATTCAGCCCAAAACACAACGAAAGTAGAAGAATTATCTGACCAAAATACGTGACAAGCATTTGCCTAAAAATTATCATTTTTCCATTTTGTGACAGAATTTCAACCAAAAAACAAAAAAAAAACAGATTTTTTAGGTTTTCGGAAAGTCAAGGTCAACTGAATTTTCGCAGGTTACGAGCTTAGTGCAGATGCAACCTGTGGCAATAAAAGTTGTTGATCACGTGGAATATATATATAGAGAGAGAAAAACACAGCCAGCCCTAATGTTGTGAGCGTGTGGGCAAATCTTAATATTACTTTCGGAGAGGGTAATATGATATCATCAGACTAATAATTGCATAGATGCCCCAATTATAGAGTGTTGATATAAGAAATAAAATAAATTAACCGCTACTCATACCGAAATAGCGCGATAAATCGAATTTAGTCAATCGAAATAAGACTTATAGAAGTTGACTTCTTCTAACCCCAACATAGTGCCGAAATTGTCCATTCTAGAGTAAATATGCCCGTGTATCGCTTAGGTAAATTTAGTGGAATAATAAACTTCCTTTAAGGTAAAACGTCCCATATGATGAACTTAGAAAAGCAAATATTCGGCAATAGTACTTTCGAGCAATAAGTCATCATTATTAAATGAAAAGTTCTCCAACCTCATACCGCCAAAGGGATCTCTACTAATGTGAGTGACGTCGCTACCCGATCGTTTATACTTGGTCACTTTCGGCGTATTGGAACCTCTGACATCGAACACATAAACTGGATTTAGGCAGCTTCGATCAAAATTTTATTAGGGTAAAGATAAATTCCAACAAAACGCTCTCAAAAATCTCAAGGTCTAAATCTGAAAGACATAGAGGGCATAAGTACAAATGGAGCCGTGTTGAAATGCCCCAATTTACATTTTACCTCCCTTTTGCTTAAATAATCGTTTGAAGTGCCGCTTTCATAGCCACGAAGCTTTCTGCTATCATGTGATAGACTTTCAAAGTAGATCCTCTCCAATCAGGTACGTTTTAACCGACAAAAGTGGCATGAAACTCAAAAATGACACGAAGGAAACTAACCTGCATAGAGTTTGGAAGATTTGGGCATAAGTTGACTTGCCGGTTCGAATGCCCATGAGTATCTCCTCGGGTGAGCCAGGCGTGACATTATCAAAATTCATTTGATGCAGATCTTTGGTGCAGAGCCACAAAAAGATGGCGCGTACTCTTTCCAGATCCGAAGTGATGTTTCTGGCGTAGATCAACTGCCAGATGAGCTGATTGAAGCTGTTCTGCTCCTGATATGAAACTGCCATAGCATGCTCGTCAACCTTCTGGAAGGCCTATAATTGTCAAAGTGAAGAATGCCTTATTACGACTTGTAATTATTTTTTATTCTATTATATTGATCGATTTTTATTTCAGTGTACTGCTCAAAAATATGCGTTCCATGAAAAATAAACTAAAGTAGAAATTAGATGTATTGGGTCTTTCGACTTCAAAATTCAAATTCTATACAACTTTTTTCATACGTAAAACGTATTCATAACAAAAATTTGAAGTGACTAATGAACTTAAGGACTAAATTTGAAAAAAAATAAAAAATGGTATTCCATTATAAAATTCAACCCATCTTTCTTAGCAGTGAGAAATATTTGAAATCAACGAAGACGTGAGAAAAAAGATAGTTCACAACGATATTCAGAAACGAAGGTTTTATTTTGCCAACTTTGTCAATCAAATCGTAAAACAATACTTGATACACACGCATTCACCTCAACTAAATTTGACCATTATTCAAAATATTTAAATTCCTAAATCACATAATATTGCTTTATTAACTAACATCATTATATCATATATATATATATATATATATATATATATATATGTGCAAATGCATGTTAACATTATTTATTTATCTTGACCTAGTTGAATCAAGAGAAAGATGGAGTGTCAAGTAGATAAGGACTGATCGAGGCAATAAAACTGCTGTTCCAATTGTCAAGTGGCACAGTCAGGACCCCAATTAGCATAGCATTTAGTGGAGTCATCTGAATGCCAAAAATCGCAATATTTTTACCATGCGCATGAGGAAATGTTTCTCCCTAAAGCAAATTCACACAGTAATTGTAAAAAGACTAGGAATAGATCATGAACCATTGGCTCCTTCTGAGTCTTAAAAATTTCACGCTCCAATACGCACCAAATTCCGTACACTGGATATAGTCTCAGGTAGTTTCTTGTTCCTACCTGAGCATCAACTCCAGATTTGTCAAATCTGAGTAGGTGAAACAGTGAGGTGATTAATCACTTTGGGGGGGGGGGG